GCTCCCTGCGCTCCGCGGTCGCGCCCCCGCCACCACCCGGGTTCGGCTCTTAGAGCCTCGGCAGATCTTCCAGCCCCTGGGGTCGAACGCCTGGGGAGGGGACTCTGAGCCCGCGGAGCTCCGGCCCCATCACCCCGGCGGGGAAGCAGCCAAAATTCCTACCCAGTCACATAGTAAAATTGGAAAACGTACCCGGGACCTCCCGGCACGCGCCGACGCCTCCTCCCCTCCTCGGAGAATGTGCGCCCCCCACTCCGCCTTTCACTTCTGGAGGGGAAGAGGGGCGCTGGGAGGGATGCAGGTGGGTGCCCTTGATCCAGCTTAGCCTGATGGCAGAAGAGGTCGACACCTGTTGGGACGGTCCTCCAGGGCCCAGGAGCGGAGGGCATGGCGAGGATCAGAGTTGTGACCCAGGCAGGGACTCTCCACCCCCAGCCCAGAAACACTGTCCAGCACCCCACCCCCCCAGCGGTGCCCCGTTTCCCAGAGGTGGGTCCCTCTGGGTGCTGAGGGGTTAGTCCTGCCCACGTCCTGCTCCTTGATCTCTACTGGCCAGTGTGAGGAGGTGTGGCCAGGAGGAGCCCAGGTTGTCCGGAGCAGTGTCCAGCCTGGCACCAGAGTGGCCACTTCTGACCTCTCCTTTCCTCTCCGGGGCAGCGAGACACCAGATGAGGGGCATAAAGGGGTGGAAAGCACAAATGTGTGCCTGTTTCCACAGAGGAGGGGCTATCCGCCCCCTGCCCAGCTGTGCAGTGGGGGTGGGACCTTTCCAGAGAGGGAGCCAGGCCTGGCCTGGGCCCCAGGAGCTCACGTCACCCCACCCCCCACCCATCATTTCTCTAGGGAACCGGCAAAGCCAAACGCAGCTGAGGCCGGGATTATGTGTCCTGGGTAAACCCACGGAGAGACAGCGAGATACAGACCTGGGGTAACAGAAGCACAGTCAGGGAGAACAGAGGGGACCTGGCAGCAGAGAGGGGCAGACGGTGACCGTCTTCCTCCATCTCTCCTTCCCTTCGACCTCAAGTTAGGGTTTTCAGGAGTCAGGCAGAGAGCTGGAGGTTTGGGTGGAACGTAGGCCCTTCTCGGGAGCCCCTAGCCGCCCACCCATCAGGGCGTAGTCTCTGACCTCAGTGGCCGGCCCAGCCAGGGGAAGGAGCTCCCCTCGCCATGTCTCCCCACTCCCAGCCCTGAGCAGCAGAGGTGACCCTGCCAGCTTGGCTTGACAGCTTGGTCTCTCCCTCAAACTCCCAAGTCCTGGGGTCTTGGAGAGGGGAGTGGGCTGGGCATCGCTACACCCAGGCACATTCCTGCCCTGGAGCTGGCCCACCTCGGCACTGGCTCCTTGGATTCCTCTCCCGGGTGCCTTTCAGCTCCAACAGAAACACAGAATTTTTTTTTCCTGGAAAGCAGAACTAAGAGGAGGGTGGGGGCTGGGGATGGGAAGGAGGAGGGGGCTGGAGGGCAACGAGGGGTAGGCAGAGTCGGGCTTTGAGGCCAGGAGGGTTCCAACCCTTTACTTCCCCAACCCTGAAAGCCAGACTTCAGGGAGAACTTCCTGGCTCTTCAGAATGATAGGCCTGTGACTGGGGAACCAGGGCAGCCTGAAGGCATCTCTCCTTCCCGGCTTCTCCCAGCCTCTCACAGCTGCCTGTGAACTAAGCCCTCACTGAACCAGCGCAGGACGCTGGCACCCAGCCCATTAACCCACTGCCATCGAGTCAGTCCCAAGTCATGGCAACCCCATATGTTACAGGCAGAACTGCTCCAAAGGGTTTTCTTAGCTGTCATCTTTATGGAAGCAGATCACCAGGCCTTTCTTCCACAGCACTGCTGGGTGGGTTCAGAGTGTCAACTCTGAGCTTCCTAGTGAAGCACAGACCATTTGTGCTGCTCGGGGACCCTGGCCAGAGTAGAGGTTAAGTCACAGTGGGAAAATCATCTGCTTTTCTTGAGATTAAACCATCAACACACTTAGTTTATCCCTTAGCTCAAAAGTTTTTGAGGCAGGCAGAGATGTGCGTGTTCCCTAAGGAGCTTAGCTAAGAAGGGAAGAAAACGCTGCAAGGTAGCAAACAGATGGTTGGGGAGGGTCTCGTTTCTGGAAAGCCCAAGGGGCTTCTTGTCAGCTCCTCAGAGGGGGCATCTGGCATACCCTCACCTGAGCCTCCTTCCTCAACTTTCCAGGTACCCCTGGGGGGCAGGAGGGAGAGCCAGGTGAAAACCGTCTTCAGAAAGAGCCTGCCTGTGGGTGCCTGCACTGGCCTGGCAGCGCCGAGCAGGGTCTAGGGAGGAGCTGAGAGGGTCCCACAGGGCCAAGGGGAAGGGACTGAGCCAGTACTTGAGAGGCTGAGGTCAGACCCCCACCCTCTACTCTCAGCAGATGGACAAGGCAGTATGACTCTGCTCCCACCCTTAGGATCATAAAAGCGTGGGCCAGTCTCCCCAACCCCTCCGTCTTCACTCTGAGACGGCCTTCGGAGGGCTCATCCATCCCGACACCCCAGCTCTCTGAACACTGAAGTAACCACCAGGCTTCCCTCCGCCTCCACACCCAGATGCCTGAGTAGCGTGTTTACGTCCAGTCCACTTCTCCGTGGCCCTGGGCAATCAGGGACAAGTGATGGAGAAGTGGATGGGCAGGTAAGAGGTGGGGCTGGCAGGGTGTGGGGGGGAAGGGATGAGTAACTTCTGCTTTCTGAGAAGTGGATGGCGGTCAGGATGTGGGGAGCTGCTGGTGGACGGCGTTGTGACACCTCCCTCAGCTCCTGACTGACCTACCCCCTCTTGTCTTTGATGTGCAGATGCGGGCTCTGTCTGATGCTGCTTCTGTCCCTTCCTCAGATCTGCCTGGATCAGGAGGTGAGCCAGGGACAACAGGCCACCACCTGCCTGCCTGCCATCTCCCCTGACCTCCCACCCCCTCTTCAGGCCCCTGCCTCCATTTCCCTCAGCTGACCCCGACTCCTACCTCTCACGCTTGTCTTAGACCCCCTGGCTAGCTCCTTGCAGGCATCAAGATGACTGAGTTCTAGTCCTGTCTCCTAGTACTGAGTGAGACCTGGGGCTGGTAAGTTAACCTCTCTGAGCCTCCGGCACTGGACTTCATAATAAAACTCGTTGCCATCAAGTGGATTCTGACTCATAGCAACCCTATAGGACAGAGTAGAGCTGCCCCATAGGATTTTCAACGAGCAGCTGGTAGATTTGAACTACCAACCTTTTGGTTAGCAGCCGAGCTCTTCACCACTGTGCCACGAGGGCTCGTATTCTTCATAAAAACCAAACCTGTTGCCGTCAAGTTGATTCCGACTCATAGTGACCCTACAGGACAGAGTAGAACTGCCCCATAGGGTTTCCAAGGAGAGCGAGCCTGGTGGATTCGAACTGCCAACCTTTTGGTTAGCAGCTGAGCTCTTAACTACCACACCACCGGGGTTCCCATACTCTTCATAGTTCTCTCTAAAATCATTCTAATTCTGTCTGACCTTTATCTCTACATAGGTGTTCTCTGGACACTCTCTTCAGACACCCCCAGAGGAAGGCCAGGGCCCTGAGGGCATCTGGGGACCTTGGGACCAGTGGGCCCCTTGCTCCCAGCCCTGTGGGGTGGGGGTGCAGCGCAGGAGCCGGATATGTCAGCTCCCTACAGCTCAACTGCACCCGGGCCTGCCCCTTCCACCCCGGCCCCCAAGACATCCAGAAGGTCCCAGGCCCCACGCTTCCCGAAGAACCCTCCCCCTGTACAGATCAGAGCCTCAGGGAAGAGGCGGCCAGCTTCAGAGTCCTGCTTCCCAGCTTGGAAGAGAGGAGACCCAGGACAGTCACGGGGCCCGGAGGTGAGGGGCGGGGCTTGTTGGTAAGGGGCGGGGCTTGTTGGTAAGGGGCGGGGCTTGTTGGTAAGGGGCGGGGCTTGGTAGGAGGGAAAGAGGAGCAACAGACACGAGGTGTGCGGAGGGTTGTCTTTGATGCCAGGACGATGCTGGGCAAGTAGAGTCAGAGATGGCCAGAGCTGTGACTCCATGTCTGTAATCCCTTCTCAGGTCCCGTGTTCGAGACCCCATCAAGCCAGGAATGTTCGGTTATGGGAGAGTGCCCTTTGCTTTGCCATTGCATCGGAACCGCAGGCACCCCCAGAGGCCACCCAGATCTGAGCTCCCCCAGACCTCTTTTAGGGGAGAAGCACCCCTTCCATCCCTGACTGCAGGAGCAGAACCATCCTCCCCAAACCAGACCCTTGAAACTCAGCCCCCTGCTACAGAGCTGTCTGCCCATACCCAGTCCCCCCCAGCAGAACCCCCAAACCCTGCAATTTCTCAGGCAGATGTGCCTTCCAGAGCCAGGCCTGCCCCCACAGGGCCACACCCCAGAAACCAGGCCTTGGACACAGAGCCCCTCTTGCCCACGCCCTCTCCAGAAAGAAGTATCTCCTTTCCTGCGTCCCCTCAGCCAAGAATGCCAGGTTCCCAGAGGTGGGCCGGTCCCCAGGTAGTGGGGAGACGTCCTAATCCTTTAACCACTGCCCCTTGGGGCCGAAGCCCGCAGAGCTGGGAGCATTGGAGACCTGGGGGGAGTCTTCACAGGTCCCATATGGAGCCTGCCCCTCACCACCCGGATGGCTGGTTCCCTCTGCTGAGTGCTGGACCTCACTCCAGCTCCCTCTGGAGCCTCTTTGCTCCCAGCACCCCTGTCCCGAGATGCTCTGGAGAGAATGAGCAGCTGAGAGCCTGCAGCCAAGCGGTGAGTTTTCCCTGGACCAACCTCTCACCCCAGACTCCAGTCCAGCCCCCCTGACCCTGCATCCTCAGCTTGCCTCATGTGGACCTGGGGGAGAAGGGCCTCGGCCTCTGAGCTCTTCTGTAGGAGCCTGGGGGCTCTCTCAGACCTGGCCCTCCCCTCCTCCCCAAATCCAGCCCTGACCCATACCCCATTTCCTCCCCAGCTCTGACTCCTCTGTGTTCCCCACCTCAGCCCTGCCCCCCTGAGCAGCCAGATCCCCGGGCCCTGCAGTGTGGAGCCTTTGACTCCCAGGAATTCATGGGCCAGCTGTACCAATGGGAGCCCTTCACTGAAGGTGAGGTTTCCAGCCCCCCACCCCACCCAGGATTGAGGGGTGAGGAGGAGAGGGAGACTCCTGCTCACTCCCAGCCCTGAGAGAGCCCTGCTTTGGTTAAGAGCTTGGCTGCTAACCAAAAGGTTGGCAGTTCAAATCCACCAGCCCCTCCTTGGAAACCCTATGGGGCAATTCTACTCTGTCCTGTAGGGTCGCTAGGAGTCAGAATCGACTCGACGGCAACGGGTTTTGTTGTTTTTTCTGTGTCACGTCTTCTTTCTCACTCGCCAAGCCTGGGAAGGGGAGAGGGTCGAACGGAGGCCCGAACTGTCAGATGGTGGATGGGCAGAGGGCTCGGGCCGGAGGCGGGATGTGCCCAGAGGCAGCCCTTTGGTTGGCTTCCTCTGGGAAGAAGGCCATCCCCGGTGTGGAGTGGATGTGGCCTGGGAGGCGCCCAGGCAGAGAGATCCTGTCCAGTGAGGACCACAGGTTAGAGGTGTGCCCTGGAGCCTGAGTGGTATCACATCAGTTGCTGCCAGCTTCCCGTCTGCTTGATTTCAGCCTGACACCAGGCTAGGCCCTCATGAGCTCTGAACTCATATCATCACGGAGTTCTAGGATTTCTCCTCTCTCAAGAGTGTGTAACCCCCTTGCTGGTCTCAGTGATCTCCATTGACCTGGGCCTCTAACCGACCTTTCAGAGTACGGACCTGTCGTGTTCCCTGGATCCACAGTGACCGAGGCCACCTCAGGGTGCTCCAAAGTGGTCAGCAAAGCTGCGGTCAGGGCCCTGGGGCTTTTCCCAGTGGCCCTCCCACCAGGGACCCCAGCTAACCACCTTCTGCCGTGTCTCCTAGTTCAGGGCTCCCAACGCTGCGAACTGAACTGTCGGCCCCGTGGCTTCCGTTTCTACGTCCGTCACACGGAGAAAGTCCAGGACGGGACTCTGTGTCAGCCTGGAGCCTTAGACATCTGCGTGGCCGGACGCTGCCTGGTGAGGGAAGGGGCGTGCGTGCACACAGGCCTCTCTTTCTCTTTCATCACGACAAGAAAACACCAAACAGAGATCAAAGGGGAAGGTTCTCGCCTGCCAGGCTGGGCGGAGCAGAGCCGAGAGGTGACCCGCGAGAAGGACCCTCCTCTCAGGCACATAGAAGCTGGCCTGAGGCGGGCTGGGGATGGTGGGGCCGACAGAGAAAGATGTTCTCACTTGTAGTGTGAAGAGCAAGACATGAGGCGAGCCGTAGAGTCCCAGGTGGACCAGGGTGGGGTGTGAGGTGGTGTCTGGCTTTCCTGTGGCCCTGCCTCACCTCTGTCTCCCCCAGAGCCCCGGCTGTGATGGGATCCTCGGCTCGGGCAGGCGTCTGGATGGCTGTGGTGTCTGTGGGGGTGATGAGTCTACCTGTCGTGTTGTTTCGGGGAACCTCACTGACCGGGGGGGCCCCCTGGGCTATCAGAAGATCCTCTCGATTCCTGCCGGAGCCTCCCGGCTGCACATCGCCCAGCTGCGGCCCAGTGCCAATTACCTGGGTGAGCACACCAGTTTCCCGGAGTCTTAGGTCCCCATTCCATTCCTGGTCTCTTGGTTCTCTCCCTCATCAGCACTGCGAACAAGCCCGACAGGGAGAAGTGGAGGGGTTCCTTCCCTTGGGCAGACAGTGAGGAAGCCGAGAGATCTTGGGCCCTGGGTGGGAAGCCGTGGAGAGGGGGACAGGATTCCTAACCTCGTGCTTCCTGGTCTCCCACCTCCAGCACTCCGAGGCCCTGGGGGCCGGTCCATCATCAATGGGAACTGGGCCGTGGATCCCCCTGGGTCCTACACAGCTGGTGGAACTGTCTTCCGGTACAACCGTCCTCCCCGGGAGGAGGGCACAGGGGAGAGTCTGTCAGCCGAAGGCCCCACAACCCAGCCAGTGGATGTCTATGTGAGTGGGGGGGTCTAGGGAGGCTGGAGTGCTGGGGAGGCTGTTCCCTCTAAGGGCAAAGCTGTGGGCCTCAAGATGGTGGAGCAGGCTGGTGGTACGCCCCCTGTCACCCCCAAACCGTCATTACTCGAGAACTCTATTGCTCTTTTTCTCTCAGATGATCTTTCAGGAAGAAAACCCAGGGGTTTTTTATCAGTATGTCATCTCTTCACCTCCTCCAAACCATGAGAACCCCACCCTAGAGGCCCCTAACCCCCAACTTCAACCTGGTAAGACTAGTCCCTGGACCTGGAGGAGGAGGGGTGCTCCCAGACACTGGGGCGCATCTGATCTGCCTGCTCTGCCCAACACCCTACACAGAGATTCTCAGGGTGGAGTCCCAGCCTGCTTCAGCGCCCCGCCCTGCCCGGACCCCAGGCACCCTCCAGCGTCAGGTGCGGATCCCCCAGATGCCCGCCCCGCCCCATCCCAGGACACCCCCAGGGTCTCCAGCCGGATACTGGAAACGGGTGGGACACTCGGAGTGCTCGGCGTCCTGTGGAAAAGGTGCGACTTCTGTCTGGCCTGGATTCCTGCGCGCAGCCTCCTGATCCTACACCCCGCGTCTTAGCTCCTGTCCTGGCAGCTGCCCGCCCACATCCTGGCTCTGCACCAGACTCCAACTCCAGGGCCGTGGACCCTGCCGAACTGAGCCGCCCCACCCACCTTCTCACCCCATTCAGGTGTCTGGCGCCCCATTTTCCTCTGCGTTTCTCGGGAGTCGGGAGAGGAACTGAAGGACCACAGCTGTGCCGTGGGCTCTCGACCCCCGGCCTCCTCGGAGCCTTGCCACGGCCCTCCCTGCCCCCCATAGTGAGTATGACCCACAGGAACGGGAAAAGTACCATGAACGCAATTGCCCCTGGGGCAGACACACCCTCGCTGCTCACAGGATGTCACCTGGACTCTGCCCTCAACATGAGATTTGCCTGGCTGCAGACAGACATGGTAGCTTAGAAAGGGTGACATTCTGTAAACAGCACGAGGAGCCTGGCAGCCGCACAGAGGGACCCAGACTCCAAGCGCTAAACATGCCCACTCTCCGCTGAGGGGTCCCTGTCCCCCACACAGCAGCCCCACACGTCTCCTGTCTTTGCCCCGTCCGTGCCCACAGCTGGGAGGCTGGCGAGTGGACTTCCTGCAGCCGCTCCTGTGGCCCTGGCACCCAGCACCGTCAGCTGCGCTGCCGCCAGGAGTTTGGAGAGGGGGGCTCCTCAGTACCTCCTGAGCGCTGTGGACATCTCCCCCGGCCCAACGTCACCCAGCCCTGCCAGCTGCGGCTCTGTGGCCACTGGGAGGTCCGCTCCACCTGGAGCCAGGTGAGGGGACCAGGCGAGGAGGCCCTCAGGCCGAGGAGGGCCACGGGGGAGGTGCGCCAGAGAACGAGCGGGTTTGCCAGCTGTAATTCTAACCAGAGGAGGGTTTTTACAGACTGAATCTCATGTGGAACCCCAGTATCTAAGTCAGATGACAGCGTGGACCAGGGGTGGGGCCCAAGGCCCCGAGCTCAGTCTCCTCAGCCCACAAAGCCCTGTAACCGCTGAGCTGGGGATCAGAGGGTCCCGGCTCAGAGCTACAGTGCTGGAGGCTGGGTGGCAAAGCCTGGGAGGCCCAGCTCCCTGATCCCTCCTCACCCCTCAGTGCTCTGTGCGGTGCGGGCGGGGTCAGCGGAGCCGCCAGGTGCGCTGTGTTGGAAGCAACGGTGACGAAGTGAACGAGCGGGAGTGCCTGTCAGGGCCCCCGCGGCCCCCCAGCAGAGAGGCCTGTGACATGGGGCCCTGCACCACGGCCTGGTTCCACAGTGACTGGAGCTCCAAGGTGGGCCCCACACCCCCTTCGCCAAGTCCCAGGTCCCTGGTGCACCCTGGACACCCTCTCAGGCCTTTCTAACACAGTTCAGTAAACATTTGCTGAGCAAGCACCTACTATGTGCTGGATGTTGCCGGCACTGGGAACTTGAGATAAGTGAGGAAAACCTGTATTAGGGTCCTGGTCTCTGGACTCCCTGCAAATGTTCCCCTTACCTGACTCGTGTCCTTGAATCTAAGACCCCTGGGGCTTTACCTAAGTCCTAGGATAAGGACCCAGGACACTTCCAGTCCCCCCTCCAGTGCCTATCAGCCCCCCATCACACTGTCCCCATCAGCCCCCCATCACACGGTCCCCGTCGACCTCCCATCACCGGGTCCCCCCTCCAGTCACCTCCCATCACACAGCCCACTCTACTTCTCCACAGTGCTCAGCTGAATGTGGGACAGGCATCCAGCGACGCTCTGTGGTCTGCCTGGGGAGTGGGGAGGACCTCGGGGCTGGCCAGGAGGAAGCCGGGGCCGGAACCAGTGAGCAGAGCTGCCCTCCAGGAAGCCGCCCCCCTGACATGCGTGCCTGCAGCTTGGGGCCCTGTGAGGTGACCTGGTGCTGGTACACAGGGCCCTGGGGTGAGGTGAGTGGAGAGCTGGCAGGGGGGCTGCAGGGTGCGGGTCCCAGTGGGGGATTGGCCCCCATTCCCCCATACATCCCTCCCTCCCCATTCCTTAGTGCTCCTCAGAGTGCGGCTCTGGTACGCAGCGTAGAGACATCATCTGTGTGGTCAAACTGGGGGCAGAGTTCAACGTGACGTCTCCTCACAACTGTTCCCACCTGCCCAGGCCCCCTGCCCTGCAGCCCTGTCAGGGCCGGGCCTGCCAGGACCGATGGTTTTCTACACCTTGGAGTTCGGTGCGTGTCTCACTCCTTGCCCTGCTCACCTGGACCTGCAGGGAAGGGGGAGTTGCCTCTCACCACATCCCCCTCCGGGTCTTTGTGCCCCAGGATAAGTCCAGCTGAGGCTTAACATTGTCCCCTGTCCTGTGGAAGACAGGTGGGCCCTCTGCATTTGGGAGTCCTCGCCCTGCCCGTTTCAGGGAGGGAGGTGGAGGCCTGGGGTTAGGAGCGCCTGGGGCACAGTGGGGGCCTGACATGACAGCTGCTCCCCGCAGTGTTCCCGCTCCTGCCAGGGGGGCGTGCAGACAAGGGAGGTCCAGTGCCTCACCGCCGGCCAGACGCTCAGCACCCGCTGTCCTCCTCACCTGCGGCCCTCCAGGAAACAGCCCTGTAACAGCCAGCCGTGCAGCCAGCGCCCCGGTAATGTCCCCTTCCCGCGTCCTCCCCACCGAGGGCAGTGTGGGTGGAGCGGGGAAGGGGTCAGTGTGAGTGAACAGGGTGCCCCGAGAGGCTGGGCGATGACCCTCCTGTGCCCACTGCCTCCTCCCCTCAGGTGAGCAGTGCAAGGACAGCTCTCCACACTGCCCCCTGGTGGTGCAGGCCCGCCTCTGCGTCTACCCCTATTACACAGCCACCTGTTGCCGCTCCTGTGCCCGCGTCCTGGAGCGGTCCCCCCCGGAACCTGCCTGAAATGAGCCCGGGAGACCCTCTCCTCATGGTTGTCTCCTGCCACCAGCGGTCACTCATCCATCAGCCCACTCTGTACCCCCTGGCTCTCCAGCTGCCCCAGTCTCACCAGGGATGTCTGTCCCCGAGGGTGGAGGGGTGATTGTCAGTGACCTTCCAGGTGTTCGTTGGGTCTGTGCAGTGGTGTGATGGTGTGTGTGCGCATATGCACCCGACTGTGTCTGGGCCCGCATGGGTGTGTGTGTGCTCAGACATGTGCATAACTTATCGAAAAAGAGTTACACAGACAGAAGGAATGGGGAAGGCACCATGCCTGTTCCCCCTGAGACTTTTCTAGGCTGGGAGGAAAGCAAGTTTGCAGCTCCTTGCTATGCTGAGCTACTTAAGAGTGCACTCCCCACAATCCCAACTGTGTGCCCTAAACCTCATTTCTCATATCCCAGGCCTCACATCTAAGCCACCCTTTTGTCCTCAGGCCCCTTCTCCCCTTACCTAGTCTATCCTGACCCCTCATCATAGGCTGTGGATGGAGGTCAGCTGAAGGTCGCTGGGTGGCACAGTTTGTGCTCAACTACTAACCGAACGGTTGGTGGTTTGAACCCATTCAGCAGCGCTGCAGAAGAAAGGCCTGGTGATCTGCTTCCGTAAAGATTACAGGCAAAAAAATCCTACGGAGCATTTCTACTCTGTAACATGTGGGATCGCCACGAGTCAGAATCGACTTGAAGGCAATAGTGTGGGGTTTTTTCGGGGGGGTGGTTTGGCCGCTGCCAATCCTGCCTTACCCCCAAAAGAGAGACAACCTCCCTAGAGCAGGGACCAGCTGGACAGAGGGTGAAAAAGAATGTTACAAGACACTCTAGTCCCTGCCCCCACCGCCCACCTTCTAAAATGGTTCCCACCCAGAAGTAATTTATTTTTTATTAAAGATGATTATGACAGATGAAAAACAGGCTCTTCATTGTCTTTATGGGAAGCCAGCCAGGGGCCAGCAAAGCAGGGTGAGCTCAGAGTGAAGGGGGGCAGGGGGACAGCATTTAGAGGCCAGGAGGAGAGAGTCTGGGCCCGGAAGGGCTATCGGAGTGAGATCAAGAGCCTTGGTCAAATTCTAGTAAAAAGACCAGACCTAATGGTCTCACTGAGACTGGAGGGACCCCAGAAGACATGGCCCCCAGACTCTCTGTTAGCCCAAAACTGAAACCATTCCTGAGGCCAACTCTTCAGACAAAGACTGGACTGGACTGTGGGACATAAAATGATACTCGTGAAGAGTGTGCTTCTTAGCTCAAGTAGATACATGAGACCAAACGGGCAGCTCCTGTCCAGAGGTGAGATAAGAAGGCAGAGAGGGTCAGGAGCTGGTTGAATGGACATGGGGAATCAGGGGTGGGAAGGAGGAGTGTGCTGCCACAGTATAAGGAGAGCAACTAGGGTCACACAACAATGTGTGTCTAAATTTTTGTCTCAGAAACTAACCTGAACTGTAAACTTTCACTTATAGCGCAATTGAAAACAAACCAACCTTAGAGGGAGGAGCTCGGCAGACCCTAGGCCTTGCAAGTCAGCCATTGACCACTAGAGGTCACTACTTCCCCCCATTTAAGTATGGAGTCAGGGGTTTGGGCCCAGAGCTCAGAAGAAAGAAATGCAGGGCCTCGGGGGGCTTCTTGGCAGGCGGAAGCTTTCTGTAAAGACTTGGAATCTAGCAGTCCTTTCAATTGGAGCCTGAGCCGAGTGGCAGCTGGCTGTTCGGGAGTCTTTCTTCCTTTTCCCTTTCTTTGGCCCAGCTTTCCTGCCTTCCCCATTCTTTCTGCTATTATCTATTTCCTTATTAAGCTCGGTTTGTTACTTTTCATGGGGTAGGGGAAAGAGAAGTGACTCCCCACCCCCGCCAACCCCTCCCGGAGCCGAAACGGCTGGGTGAGGCGGAGCCTGGCCTGGCCGTCGAGGCCTTGGGGTGGATGGAGGGCGGAGCCGGGGCAGTACTGGATGTCCTGCCAGGGACGCATTCCTGCGAGCTGTCGCACCCTGCCTCCTCCCTCCCCACCCCGCTCTCGCCCATTTCTTCTCCCAAGGTAAATAACTTGCTAGAGGTGCTATGAGAGGGCGTAAACAAAACCCGTTGCTGTCGAGTTGGACTCCTAGTGACCCTATAGGACAGAGTAGAACGGCCCCATGGAGTTTCCAAGGAGGCTGGTGGATTTGAACTGCCAACCTTTTGGTTAGCAGCCAAGCACTTAACCACTGCACCACCAGGGCTTCCTGAGCGGGCATCGCCTCTTCTAGAACACATATCCTCCCCCTGACCCCCCACAACTTTGAGGTGTGAGATGCTGCTTCCGGAGGCTGCACTTTCCAAGGGCTCCCGGCCTAGGGAGGGGGAAGGGTGCGACATAGTAAGATTCCCCCTGCTCCTCTGTACCTCCCCCAGCTCCCGCTGAGTAACAGCACTAATAAAGGGCCTGGGGTCTAACCCCGTGACTAGTGTATCCCGGGCACGCCTCGTCCCGGTGAAGGTCACGGGCTTTGCCTGAGGAGCCAGGGCTTCTCGGCTCCAGCCCTGTTCCTGCGTCGGGACTCAGGCTTTCCCTAGGTTGGAAATGGCTGAGAAGAAACTGGAAGGCTTCCTGGGAGAGGAGGTGAGAAAGGAGGCAAAGGCAGTGGAGGGAAAGGCAAATGAAACTGACTAGCTCAGAGCAGGGCCCGAGGAAAGGGGGTACAACCAGAGTCCAGCCTAAGGAGGGGGCGTCAGACACTGTGCTCCTCACTTGGGTGCATCCCACGTGGGGGACCTGAGCCAGCCCTGTAGATCCACAGCAGCCTGAAGGGGGAGTCCTCTCACCCTAGGGGTGGGGGTGGGCGGTGGGGTGGGGTAGTGAAGGGCAGGGACCCTCCCAGCTATTCCTGGAAGCTTCTGCTGGGCAGCCGGCCGAGCTCAGCTGACTTCCCCGCAGCGCCCGCCCCCGCTCAGTTCCTCTCTGGGCTGTTGCTGGGCAGGTTTGGAGTTTGGCCTGAAGAGAAGAACCAATCACAGGTGCTGAAGGCAGCCACAGCCCCTCTTAGGGTTCCCCCAGCCCCAGCATCTCCTTTCTCTTTCCCGTAACCCCTGAGCTCCTTCACAGCCTCCAGTCACTGGTCTCTGAGGACGTGGGCTCTCATCTAGGGGTTTGCCCGCCTTTGTCCTCCCCGTTTTAAAGCTAGCATTCAGCGCAGCCCCTAAGGACTCTTCTAGTCACCGAGGCCGTATGGGATCATTGTGAAAGTTCACAGGAAAGGGAACCTGACCCTAAGCAACCCCCCTTCCTGGCCCCTTAGAGGGGGGTGGTGTGGCCAGACATCGGCTGACCTCTGAAACCCTTTGAAGGGACCTGGGAGAGAGGAAGCTACAGGAGCCCAATGGCAGGGAGATGTGGTGGATGGGGCCCCTAGGTTTGGTGCACTGAGGGGAATTTGGGGAAGGACTCAAAGGAACTGGACCCCCAAGAATTGAGAAGAGGGAGGGTGGGAAAGGAACAATCTTGATATGGGTAAGAGAGACCAAGGGGGCGAAAGAGCAGCCAAGTTGCTGAGAGCTCCTGTTTCTGAGGGCTTGGTGGGGGCTGGGGGGCTGTCGCTCTAGTATCTGTGTTCTCAAGGGTGAGGTTGTGAGTCTCAGGAGTTCAGGATTCCTCTCCGCCTCCTAGCTTCCCCAGGGTAAATACGCACCCTGTTTAAACTAAATTTAGCTCCTAGACTTCCCCAACCCCCTGGGCCTCCCTGTAAGCCGTTGTTCGCAGCTGCAGGGGTGGGTCTGGAGGAGAGTTTTAAACACCCTTCACCTCAGCTTGTCTAGATGAGACCTCTGGTAACTAGGAGTGAAGCAGAGCCCAGGAACCTAGTTGCTGGCCCAGTGTCTGAGTCTCAGCCTTAAGCCACTCTCTCCCAGGAGACCTGTAAGAGAATCATGGTTGGAAGATCTGGACAGACTTGAGGACCGTGGGAGATAGAGGGGACAGTGAAATCACAATGCAAGGAGAAGCTCCCCTCCTGATTCTCTCCAGCCAGATCCTCTTTCGTTTCTTGCTTCCCCTCCTCCCCAGTTTTACAAAGAGAGATTTCATTTTGATTTAAAAAATATATATTTTATTGTGTTTTAGGTGAAAGTTTTCATAGCAAATTAGGTTCCCAGTTAACAATTTTTATACTACTTGTTCGTGACATTAGTTACATTTTTTGCAATGTGTCAACATTCTCATTATTTCCGTCCTTTCTGTTTTGTTTCCATTGATGTAGCTTCCCTGCCTCTCCTTAGCTTCTCATCTTCGTATTAAGGGAAATGTCGACCGTTTGGTCTCATATAGTTGATTATTTAAGGGAGCACAGTATACACGGGTTATCATTATATAAGGGAGCACAGCGTACGCGGGGGATACCGTTATGTAAGCCAGTCTGTTGTTTGGTTGAAAGGTGGCCACGGGGAGTAGCTACAGTTCCAGTTTTAAAGGGTATTTAGGGCCATAGTCTCGGAGATTCCTTTAGTCTCTGTTGGTCCGTAAGTCTGGCCTTTTTTAGGAATTTGGGTTTTGTTCTACGTTTTTCTTCATATTCAGAACCGTCAGTAGTGGAAGCTGGTAGCCAAGCACCATTTAGCTCTTTGGTCTCAGGCTAGATGACGCCGTAGTTCACATGGGAGGACTTCATTTTTAATCTAACACCCTCCCCCAGCAGAGTAAATGAATCGGGAGACCTTTCCTCTCCTTGAACCGTGGAGAATCATGCTCCAGTAGAGGTTTCTACCAACATGGCTAGAATCCATCGGTGGTACACAGTCAGCTCCATGGGTAAGTTAGGAAGTTAGAGCAGCGGGGGCTTATTTGCTATGGGGCAGGTGACGAAGAGGTGTGAGCTTTAAAAGGTAGAAGTATTGACTTTATAGGGCGAGTGGAAGATACCTTTACAGGAAGTAGACTCAGGAAAGCACCTAAGTCTAAGTCTGTCAAAAAGAGAGATAAACAGTCGGAGTT